CCCAGGTATCCAGAAGGGTCCCAGAGAGCCCCCTCCCAAGGGACCCCGCTGTTCGGGGCAGGGGGGACCCAGACATCTGGGGTGGGAGGGGACCCAGGTATTTGGGGGGGGACGACACAGACATGACCCCAGTGTTTGGCTCACCCCGGCCCCTCCAGCGTGAGGATGGCCAAAATCGGGCGCCTGTTCATGCCCCCCATGCACGAGCTGTTGCACATGAAGTTGTAAAGAACCGTGGTACAGTCGGACCCCACCTGGGAGGGGAACGGTGACATGTCGTTACGGCGAAGGAGGGAACCCCAAACCCCCCCAGCACCTCAAAATCCACCCCTCAGCCCACCCCATGGGGCTATTTGTGGTCCCAGGGGAAGTTTTGGGGTCCCAGGGGAGGTATTGGGGTCCCTGGGGGGCATTTAGGGGGTGTCCTGGGGGAGTATTTTGGGGTCTAGAAAAGTATTTAGGGGTCACAGAGCAAGTATTGGTGTCCCAGGGGACATACTGGGGTCCCTGGAAAGGCATTGGGACCCTGGGGGGCATTTAGGAGGGTCCTGAGAGAGTCTTTTGGGGCCTAGAAAAGTATTTAGGAGTCACAGAAGTATTTGGGTTTCACAGGAGGTATTGAGGTCTCAGGAGAAGTGTTTTGGCGTCTAAAGAAATATTTAGGTGTCAGAAGCAAAGTATTGGGGTTCCAGGAAACGTATTAGCATCCGTGGGGTATATTTAGTGTGTGTGTGTGGGGGGGTGTCCTGTGAAAGCGTTCTGGGGTCTACAGAAGTATTCAGGAGTCCCAAGAGAAGTACTGGGGTTCCTGGAGAGGTACTAGGGTCCCTGGGGGGCATTTGGGGGGTCCTGGGGGGATATTTGGAGGTCTCGGAGAGTATTTGGGGTCTGGGGGGGGGGATGCTAATACCAGCATTCAGTGATCTAGGAAGTAATCTGGGATCACTCAAATATATTTTAAATTCTCAGTAAAATATTTGGAAATCCCAACGGAGTATTTGGAGAGGCTGGGAGTGTATTTGGGATCCCTGAGCGGAATTTAGGTGTCTCAGGAGTCTTTTTAAGGCTACCCGGGGGGCATTTGGGACTCCTGGAGGGTATTTGGGGGTCCCAGGAGAAATATTTGGGGATCGAGGAGGATATTTAGGGATCCCG